CGTTCTCGGCGCCCGCGGTGCCCGCGCCGCCCGCCATGAATTTACCTCAACAGCAGCCGCCGCCGGCGGCGCCGCAGCAGCCGCAGAGCCGGAGGTCGCCCGTCAGCCCGCAGCTGCAGCAGCAGCATCAGGCGGCCGCAGCCGCCTTCCTGCAGCAGAGGAACTCGTACAACCACCACCAGGTAGGGAGCCCGCCGCCCCCTCGAGCGCCCTGCGCCGGGGCATGGCGGCGGACCCGGGGCCGGGGCAGTGCGCTCGGGCGGGCGGCCGGGCGGAGAGAGATGGGCTGGGGCTGCTCCTGCCCCGGCGTGCCCCTCCGAGGGGACCGGAGCGGAGGCTGTTCCCTTCTTGAGTTTGCTCGGTGCAGCACTAGGGGAAGCCCAGGCGGCACCTGCAGCCGCACCCGCGGGCTGTCACGGGCCAGGGAGGAACTGTCAGGCGGCGCGCGGCTGCCGGCCGCGGGGCTAGGGTGCTCTCGGTGTCTGCTCTTTTTAGTGTTTGGTCTCATCTTAGGGACTAGGAGGCCAAGGCACCCCTGAATCTAGGATTAATGTGTTTCCTCCTAGATGTCTCCACATGGGGTGTGTGCCGGGATCATGGGGTATGTGGCATTATGAAATGACACCCAGGCAGGTTCTTTGCTAGTCTGTGCCCTTTCTGACTTCTGACTCAGGATCTTTTCTGTTACTACTCCCTTAACCCCCGCCCAGTGCAGATTTTGGGTGGCCGCTACGTTTGTTGATGTTGAGAGTTTTGTTGCTATTTAATGGAGTTATCATTTATTGTGGTGATCATTCGAAGTCCAGTGTCGAGATTAAGAATTGTCATGGAACCCAAATTTGACTTTAACCGGCCAAACTTTTCTGTTGACCGAAGTTTTCAAAAGCGAATGCTGTTTAAATTAACCAAAGTATCAGCTGACAGTTTATCGAAATTAACCCAAGTAGAAGTTAATAGTTTCGTTGAATCGATGTTTTCTCCCCAAGAATGAGGAGTGTGACCTATAAGGAAGGAAAATACCGACATCTGAAGTAATACTCCATTTCCCATGGTTTATATGATCTTGAACAACTGTCTTTTGTATATCAGGCTCTTTACTTTTTAACTGGTAGTTTGCCGCAGAAGTTTATAGGTAATTTTGAAATCCCAAAGTCAAAGTAGAACGTTATCAGGATATATGTCGTGACTCATATTTAACTGCAATATGCGCCAATAAACAAAAAGAAATGGGTCTTACCTCTGAGTGTAAGAGGTCACACGCTTTCATATGGAATTTTAGGTCACTGGAAAAGAACTTTGAACTGTGAGTCATTTAGTAGGCAAAATAAGGCCCTGCTGCGTGAGATAATTCTGCCGTGACTCCTTAGCTGTGCTTTTCAACTATGTGGAAGGAGAAGGAGGCTATATATGTTCATGATTGTGTTAGCACCTAAAATCCTGTAGTAGCATCCATAGGTACTGGATGTCAAGTTTTTACATTTTTCTTAAAAACTGTTTAATCTTAGGATTACCATGTTTATTGAGTTTTAGAAAGGATATGGTCTGTATTTCCACTGTCTAAATCTTAGGAGAAAATTACTAGTTTTAGTTTATTGATAGTAGAAATACTAGCAATTCACAGTTCCCTTTTAAAAAAGAAAAAGGTCTTATATCTCGTGAAATTTCCTTTTTTATTTTTTGACGATTTGGCTTTTCTTGCCATAGGATCTAGATTTTGGAATATGATTTTGCTTTTGAGTGTCAATGAATTTAACAGAGACTTGCATTCAGATTGTTAAGAATAAGCAACGCTGGCGATTGTTTATTGTATATCTCAGTGGATCCACCTATGGGTGGCACTGGATAATTGCTTTTAACAGTTCAAGGATAATTAAGTGGAATGAAAAAAAAAATACTGAAAGAAAAGCAGGAATAAAATACCTTAAAAGTTGAATTAACAGTTCAGGAAAATGAATTTTTTCCTGCACTGACCTGTCCTTAAATGCATCTTCACTTCATGCTAATGTTACCACTGTTGGATTTTTCAGAGTAGCCCAATCTGTTTGGGAAGACTAAGATCTAAAAATTTGGCTCCCATAGCTGAGACAATTAAGACCATTTAACTAATACTAATTTAGCTAGTGGAAGATAGGTTGCTTGCAGTTTCTTCAAAGTCAACTTCAGCTTTAAGAATATTTTAGTAACCGTCAGGAGACATCACTGTTTTTAGCAGATAGGATAGAAACTTCCCTAACACTAAGTAAATAGGATATCAAGTAGGAAGATCCCAAGACTTCTTTCCTTAGCCCCTTAAGAAATATCGTTAGCTTTTATGTTTCATTTTTTTTTATGATCACATTAAATTCTTAGCTGAGTTCTAAAATTTGAATTTGAATTATCAGCTCTCCAAGGCCTGTAATTGAAATAGGTGTGTTTTCCTCAGCCTCTTCTGAAACAATCTCCTTGGAGCAACCATCAGAGCAGCGGTTGGGGCACTGCGAGCATGTCCTGGGGTGCGATGCATGGCAGAGATCACCGTAGAAGTGGAAACATGGGCATTCCGGGGACTATGAATCAGATATCTCCACTGAAGAAACCGTTCTCTGGTAATGTTATAGCACCACCGAAATTTACCCGCTCTACTCCGTCACTGACTCCCAAGTCTTGGATTGAAGATAATGTGTTCAGGACAGACAACAATAGTAACACACTCTTACCCTTACAGGTAAGAATGGTATGTAAATGTCCTTACTTCTAATGTTAACCTTTCAAAATAGGAAGCGGGGTGGTGGAGGTAGCAGTGGCAGTATAGGAAGATTAACAGAATTAGAGATAAACAAAATTTAAGCATATCATTTAATTATTAAAGGGTAAAACACAGAGAGAAAACAGAGATGTAAGAATTTCTCTGTAAACACACATGAATGGAAATAAGCTTCCAAACATTTAAGAAAAGATTTCTTCCATACAGATTGAAGCCTTTAAGTGGCAGTTCCTTAAAAATGCTCAAGTTAGTTATTTCTTAATAGACAACCAAAACTTGTCTTTTTGATAATATAAGCTGAAACATTCTGTAACTGTAGTTGTACATAGATTTTTCTGTGATCAGCTGTTTACTTATTAGAATGTTCTTAATACAGCTGTGATTGTGCCACAATAACATTAAGACTGTTTGAATCTAATTCAAATTGTCTCCACTGGTTCAGTGACTATAAATATATATGTATGTAATTTTCCCCACTAAATATAACCTAATATTAATGGAGATCATTTTTCCTGGCCTGTTTAATATTTTGTGACTCTTGCAAATGAGATTTAATTTTCCTCAAAACCTTTAGAGGACAGAACAAAAATTTAAGATAGAAAGAACTTGGATTGTTTTTCGTTTCTTTGGTTTTTGGTTTTTTTGTTTGTTTGTTTTTTCTTGGGTGGGATGGGGAAGAGAACTGCTCATTTCTGATGCAAACTTCTATGCTATTGAAGGTGAGATCTAGTTTGCAGTTGCCAGCTTGGGGCTCAGATTCACTCCAAGATAGTTGGTGCACTGCAGCCGGAACATCCAGAATAGACCAGGTAGGCGGCACAGTGTGTGCTTCTCAGGGTCCTGGCTAGGAGTTGAGTATTTACATTATGAATATGAGTGATCATTTGCTTTTCAATTATGCCATGTAAGCATATTCCAGAGATTATTGAAACAATTTAGTTGTTAAACATCTCTTGATTTAAATTCTCAATCCATTCATTTTCAAATTTAAAAGATTTGTAGTCATATTTTGAAATCATAAAAAAATTTGGTTTTGATTACAATGAATTATGTATCCAAGAGCACCTGACTTTAAACATCAGTCAAACTAAACAGATACTATCTTTCTTCCAGAATTATCTGCAATAAAAATACAAACTATGTTTATTTAACATCCAGTTTTCCATTTTATGTTTTAAGAAATCTTCCAGTAAATGTTTGTCATAAAGTCTGATGCATTTGTTTTGAAATATGTCTCTAAATAGCTTCTGTTTTAATTTAGTTTTCTTACCTTTATAAAAAAAAAAAAACTTTGTGGTATAGTATTTTTAGTCTAAATTTTATTATTGCTTATATCCTACAAATTACCTTCAAGACCTTAGTGATTTAAAAATGCTGTCTGTCTTTCTGCACACTGAATTTGAGTGTATACTGGTACCAGGTCATGAGGATGATTATATGAGGAGCTTTTTTTATAGCTCCCAAGTTTGATCTTCATTTTGAGATTTTGTAAGTTAAGTGAGTGGAGCTGTGTAATCCATAGCTAAGGCAATTCCTCAAGTCATTTATCAACATGAACTGATTTTTAGGAAGACTGTATAGGCATATTAATAGCAGAACACTTTATAAATAGCATCATAATCTGGAGGACTAGCACTAGCTTGAGTAATCAGTCACTAGCTGTTGTTGTAGACAAGTCTTGACTTTATCGAAGTTGTCCTGCCAGGATCTCGGCATCAAAATGGTAGTTGTCTTGTGCTTTTCAGCTTGTTATTTTGTTAATGTAAGCGTCCCACTCATCCACTTCTATTCTCTTTTTCACTCGGTCCCACTTCTCCTGTATTGTGGTACCACTGTCATATTGTTTAAAATGAATCCACGATTGCTCAAAAGAAGTTAGGTTGGAAAAAAAATGATTGTAGTTATTTTGAAGGTGAAAGGGAAATGTCTTCAGAGAGGAAAAAGCATAATTCTTTCACGTGTAAGTACAAAAGCCCCGGGCTCTGTCTATGACACAGCAGCCTTTATGAGTGTGGGGGGGGGGGGGGGGGGGGACTTGTGTTCAGTTGAGCCCTTGCACTAGAGTAGATAGAGGTGATGGTGAAGGGGGCATTTTATGACTCCGTTCTGGGAGCGACGGAGTACAATGCTTTAGCCTTCCTACTTCAACTTCAAAGCCACCATACCTTAGCCCGTTTTATAACTTAGGATTTTAGGTAGATTTTTTTTTTTTTAATTTTGGCTCTTAAAGATACACTTTCAGGTAAACCTTGATGAGTAATTAGTATTTGTACAGAAGTGTGATGTGATGGTGGATAAAAATAGGTGATGGAATTTGAACTGAACTGGAAGGCAAGGCATTCCCAAACCGGAATCTTCTTCCTTGCGTTCTTTACCACTGGCTACAGGCTTTCATCTCTAGGTCATAGCCTCATCTATAAAGAAGGATCGTGATGAACAAGGTCATGTAAAACCTTGGCAGGCCAGGCCTTACACATTCTCTGATCTGTTTGGCTATTGTTTTCCTCCCTGGTCTCACAGGCCTCCAGTCTCCCAGCCTGTGTGTGTGTGTGTGTGTGTGTGTGTGTGTGTGTGTGTGTGTGTGTGTGTGTAAGTAAGTACAAGGGGCTTAGGACCTGTGGGGGAGGGGAGACTAAAGCCTTAAACTAAGACATTGCAAGTATATATGACCTTATTGCCTTCTTTAAGTACTCAGATGGTCTTTATTATACAGTCTGTTCCGTTTCCATCTTTCCATAAAAGCTTGTGGTATTTGGAGTTCTTAAAAACACAACGGCAGCGATGTAAACTAGCACTTTTAGTGTAAAATATAGAGTATTTGGCAAACTTAAAATACTTAAAATGCTTAATCACTTAAATAATTTGAGATTTTATTTTGTGATCCTATAAATTTTAATATTAGTAATTTTTTAGCAAGTATATTATTTTAAACCATAACTTTAGTTATGGTTTATATTTCCTTTAGTCTGAAATGAATCAGGTCTACAATGTAATAAATTACAGAACTAACATCTTCATTCAGGATACTTCAGGTATGACCTACACCAAGATTTGGAGATGTAATTAAATTCAGTAAATGGAAAAATATTTTCATAGGTTAATTTATTTCATTTGTTTCAAGTAAAATTTTACAATTTTTTATTTTCAATATTTTTTATGGAAAAACTTCAAATTTAAAACATTTTTAAAGCACATGTAAATTATACACATTCCTGACTTTAAAAATTGTTTTTTAAATGCATGTGTGTATGCATCTGTGTTTGGTGTATGTGCATATGGAGATGAGGATGATAAGGTGTTATTCCTCAGGATTGCTGTTGCCTCCTTTGAGACATGGTCTTTGATTGGCCTGGAGCTTACCAATTAGACAAGCTGACTGGCCAGTGAGTCTCCTGGATCCTTCTGCCTCCACCTCCCCAGCCCTGAGATTATAAGAGCTCTCCACTCCCATGCTTGTGAGGCAAGCACCTTACCACCTGAGCTACCTGCCTAGCTCCTTATTAGATGTTCCTACTAATTTCTCATAAGCCAAATTTTCTTTGTTCTTCTTTGCTTTTGAGAATAGGATCTTAATTTATAGCTGAGGCTGATCTCAACTTTGGGATGTCCCTGCCTCCATCTCTTGGGACTGAAACTATATTAGGTGTGGCCAAAATTTATTAATTTGAAAATGCTTTTAGCATTTTGTAAGAAGTCATGCTCAAAACTATTATGTATCGATTTCCTCAAAATAGAATTTTCCATGAGACATTTAAAAAAAAACACAATGTTTATTTGTGAATACTTAGCTGTTTTAAATCAATGTAAATTTCCTTTTAACTTAGGGTGTTTTATCACTTACTTTTTTTAATGTGATACTTCTGCAGTATGCCCTGAGAAACCTATCAATACAATGTTGGTCTTCTACTCTCTGGGCCTTTTTCAGGGCTGGATTTTGACTGTATATCCTGGGAGCTACCTTTAATCAATTGAAGATATTTTCTATCAATCAAACATCCAAATTGATATAAAGTAATAAATCACATTTGGGAGATCTTTTTCAGGAAATATGTCACTTGAAACTTTCATGGGTTTCCCTACGAAGTAGTGTGTGGTAGGAAAGCAAGGCCAGCATTTCATGACACAGTACCCTTGTTTTGGGGAGCCTGAACTTGCAGAATGTAGGGAGTCTTCAAACTCACACATAGCTAAGAGTGAAGAATGCTCTTTTGTTTGAGCAGAGGGTGCTTTCCTCAGGTCTTTACTGTCTTAGCCTCAGTTCTTTAAGTGCTTTTGGAATCATCTGTCTACCCTTTCATTCTCATATGTGCTTACGGCTAATGTACGGGTAAAGAAAAATAGTAACCCCAACAGTAGACTTCCAGAGGCTACTCCGCAGTTTCCATTTGTTCTCATTTTTTCTTGTTACTGTAGTACTCTTATTTCTGTAGAACTCCACTTAATTGATTACCAGATGGCTTTTAAAAAATATTTTAGAAGAGGTTGTATGTGAACTTTTCCTCAGTCTGATTTTTCAAAAATGTCTTAGTAATTTTCAAACAGCCATTTAATAGTAAGTATAAGATGCATTGCCATGATTTTCTATATTTGTTAGTATGTCAGGACTGTAGTGTTCGTCTTTATTTCTAAATGTTTTCAAGTCTTCCTCCTAGTTTTAAACTGATAACAATTTAGATGAGTAAATCTGTTCCTAGTATCCTTACTTTAGAAGAACATATACTTTGTTTTATAGCCAAATATAAATCATTAAATATAATTTGTTTTAAACTATTGTCTTGAAAAGATAGTCCTGAACTGTAGCATGTCTTCTTCTAAATATTTAGGGTATAGAAAATAAAATACTTTAAGTACTTATACTCTTAGAACCTACATGCTATATCATAAAAATATTAATGTTTATTTTACCAGTTTATGTATTAATCCTATCTTAAATACACTTAAGAACTTGAATATTACAATAGTCTTCCATTCAGTAACTAGAAATTCACTTGATAGTGAAGCTATTTTAGTATCTGATAGTTGTTCTAGTTTAGTCAATTAGCAGATTCTATAGAGGATTCTAAGATTTAGTTCTTTATAATTACCATTTTAATAGCAGTCTTTACACTCATACAGCTCAAATTACACATTTTATAGTGATTTTATGGTAGTGATAAAGGAGTATTCATTTAACAGACACTTGAAAGCTGAATGTGTATGATTAGAAGGACCCTAGCCTTAATTACTTTAGAAGTTTAGTGGGAGAATCCAGGAAATGTGCACACGGTAGAGTAGAAACAGAGATGGAGACATTAGTAAACATGAAGGGCTTGCTTGCACAAAGGCCATCCTCCTCTCGCTTCCATTTTATGCCATTCACTGTAACAATAATTTAGATCTTCTATGATTTCAAGTGGCCTATAGGTACTGTCTAGTCTGACTTGGTTATTTTTTAGAAGATGGAGGCAGAGTATAAAGAGGTCCTGTGGTGTAGAAGATCACAAAGCTTAGTGCTATTTATAATGTCCTGGACAGTAGCTTCACTGTCCACCTAATAAGTACTGAGTCAGACTCAGTTAAGGTGTGGCACCATAATATACTAACCTGCTTTTCACACAATCTGAAGCGTGTTGAGAGTTTGGGAAACACTGCTTTATTTCACTGATTCTCTTTGTCTCCCCCACCAAGTTCACTTGTTCTGGTGTAGAGCATGATAGATGGGTATGTTGTGTGTTTAGTAGGATCTTTTACATAAAGGTCAGTAAATTGGACTTCTATAGGTAGTTGGTGATTCATTGGAACAAGAGTCTCCTAGAAGCTTTGCATCATTCAGTGTTACTACTCACCCTTCCTAATTCCTTGTTTAGTCTACAGTGCTGATCCTGGTCCCTAGCTTTAAAAAGTATACAACCTTAATTAAACATCAAAGAGGAATAAATAAACAAACCTTATGTTTTTCTTTAGCTCTCTAGAGACCTAGTTCTGAATATTTTCTGGGTTTTTGGTCCCTTTGGAAAATCATGAAGGCTATAAACCTTTTCTTAAGAAAATAATATATGTCAATATATATGAATGCATATTATCCTAGAGACTTCTGTTATAACTTTGGACATGTGGATCCAGGTTAACTAGTGTTCTTCTTGGGTTTCTGTGGAAACTGTCTGCTTACTTTTCTGATTCTTTTCTTGTTTCCTGTGCTAATCATTTTGAGAGTTTAAGATGGCCTACCCTGCTTCCTCCACATGTACATGAATTTGCAAATTCATACATACAACAAATGGGTAGGGATGGCATTGACATAGTTTGTTAAAAGACTTCAGACTCTTTGGAGGGCATGGACCATAGCTTGTTTGGCTAGTTTCTCATATATATCATTGCATAGTCATTGAGTTTGTGTTGAGTAGAATATAGTATAAATTCTTAGGCAGTAGACAACTAAATGCTTTCTAGCAAGCTGTCAATAAAAAAGCTGCTGTCAACACAGAAGGCAGTTTTTTAGAGTTGGGGAAGGGAATGTGAACTAAAGTGCTTTACCCCTCCCCTCTTCTTGTGCTGACCTTTTGGAGTAGAGTGGGGGGATTACAAAAAGTGGAAGGACTTTAGAGAGTGAGATTTGAATGTAAATATGCAAGGCATTCATCCTTTTTCTGACATTAGTATTCTACATTTGATTTTTAGTGTATAGGATGTTTATGCATTCATTGTTTTGCAATTCCAATGACTAAGTCAAGTTTTAAGTGTGTGATAGATGTTTAAAGTATGGTGCACTTATTAAATTCTTCTCAAGATACTTATTTTCCAAATGCCAATATCTGTCTTCCTAGATATATGAAAAAAACATGGAGCAACTGAAAATGTTTTCTGTGTATAATATTTGTGAAAATAATCTGAGAGATTTCTCTGCATTCAGTTAATACTGCCAATGAAATTACATTAATTTTATATATTTTAGAGATGAATGTGCTAAAAATATTTTCCCTTAATAAGTGACATTGTAGTAGACAAGAGACTTACATATCAGTATTTTCTTGGGATACAAGTTAAGTAGTAATATATTAATTAAGTGTCCTGTTTTATGTAAGAAAGAATATATGTCTTTAACTTTTTCTTGAAAATTACATAGATCTTATATCTTTTCTTTTTCTGTCTTCCAGGATCGAAGTAGAATGTATGATAGCTTAAATATGCACTCTCTGGAAAATTCTCTTATTGATATCATGAGAGCAGAACATGATCCTCTCAAAGGTAGGTGGCAATTTATAGCATCAATTTCATGTCATACGTTGGTTTGTCTGTTTATGAAAAATTAACACTTATATAAATTAATTTACTGATGGTAAAGAAATGTTTTATTTCATATGTGTTATTTTCGATCTCTTGTCCTTTATATTGCAATTGTATCACCTTGAGGAAAGAGGAGTACTAATTGCCTAATGCATATAACAAGTCATCCAAACTTTAGCCCCTTAAGGCATCAGTAAATAGTTATTGCCACACAGTGTTAGTGTCTCAGATAGGGTTTCTGTTGCTCTGATAAATCACCATAACCAAGAGCAAAGGGTTTGGGAGAAAAGGGCTTATTTCATCCTAGAGCTTTTAGTCCGTCAGGGAGGGAAGTCAGGACAGGAATCTAAGACAGGAACCTGGAGGCACGAATAGCAGCAGAGATCTTGGAGTAACATTGCTTACTTGCTTCTCATGGCTTGTTCAGCTTTCTTTCTTATACCATCTAGGACCTCCAGCCCAAAGGTGGCACCAAAATCATGGGCTGGGCCCTCCCATATCAATCGTCAGTTTTATGGATACATTTTCTCAATTGATTTCCTCTTCCCAAATGACTCTTAGTTTGTGTCAAGCTGACAAATCAGTAGCCAGCACAGCTATTGTATTATGAATTCATGAGAATAATTGTTTCTAGCTCAGAACTTTTGATTGAATCCAAATCATGAAATTCTTTATAAGTTCTCCAGTGTTAATCCTACAAATGTAATTCTTTTAGAAAATTTTGCCCTACAAATTCCAAAACTTTTTCTTGCCAGCTAAGTTGATAACAGCAATGAGATGTCAAGTCTTACTCACTTAATATCTGGGTTTTTTTTAATGCATAGTTTTTTGTCTCTCTAACCCTTCCATTTTAAGGGGTGTGTTATTAATGGTTGTTGATGTGCATTGGTGGCAATTCCTCAAACGAATAAGGTTATGCGTTGTGTTCGTTTGCTTTCCTGTGAATTTTGTTGACCTTCTGGCTCTAATATATATTGTAAGGCTGTCTGTATGAGGTCTTGTTCTTATTTACCGTGATTACTGTTTGTTTACCTTGGATCTTCCATTTCAGAATAGAATCTACACTGGGGTGTGGTGGCATATGACTGTATACTAGCACTCAGGAGACCAAGGCTGGAAGGTCACCAGTTCAGGGCCAGCTCGAGCTAGGTAGCAAGACTGCCTCAAAAATAAATGCGCACACACACACACACACACACACACACACACACACACACACACACATAGAATTGTTAACAGTTTACTGCTAAGAATTTCTGTGTTGAATTCTGTCTTCTCTAGAAAGAAAACTACTAGGCACTCCAACACGAGATTTTCTTCTTTTACTTGCTGGCTCATTCCACTGCTTCCTGCTTTACCACATGATACATATTCTTTCTCCACACATTCTGATCGTTACACGTTTATGGGGGTGGGAATGCTGGACCCCTGTACAATCTGTCTAAGCAAGGTGATGGCAAATAGAGTGAGCCAGCCCGGGTTAACCAATGCATTTGTTGTTTCCCTCTCTTTCCAGTCCTCATCTTCAGGGCAGCACTTTGTCCTCTCTTTTTATCTCAGAAAATCTTCCCCCTCTTAGATACACAAACACCAACATGTTTCTCATAGGAGCAAGATGAAGCTTATTTTATCCTCTCAAAATGACTTCCTAAACCATTATTTGCTTTGTCTTCCTCACAAGATCTACCAATAGACAGGAGATGGAGAGTGCAAAATTTTTAAACGATCTCCCTGTTCTTTCTGTTATTACAAGAGGTTGTATTACTTGTCTATAGCTGCAAAACAAATAACTCAGAGTTTAGCTTAAAACAGTAACAAGAAGCATTTACCTTACATAATTTCTAAAGGCTAGAATTGGGTAGCAACTTGATTATTTCTGGCTAAAGGTTTCACGAGAATAGCAGTCAAGAAGTTGGTTGATACTACAGTCTGAAGCCTTAATTAGGCTGGAGGATTCCTTTCCATATGGTTAGAAAGTTAGTGCAAGGCTATTGGCAAAAGAAGAAAGAAAGAAGGAAACTCAGTTCCTTGCTCTATGGACCTCTCCACAGGCCTGGTGTAGCCTTCTTATGGCATGACTGCTGGTGCTACCTCTGCCTACCCCCGCTGCCTAGAGTGAATGGCACAGATTGTACAAAAGCCCCAGTGTCCTAGCGCCTAGCCTCAGATGTAGCATACTGCTGTTTCTACAATATGGCTCAAACTATGTAAATAGGAAGAGACAAGGACCGGAAGGAACCATTATGGAGGCTGGTTACTTCAGGGGTCAAAGGCAGATCTATAAGTTCATATTTACTTCCACTCTTAAGTGTAGAGCAAAAGATGAACTACTCACAGTGGGTGTCAGTGGGGAGAAAACAGTCGAGTTGTTGTATAGAATGTGGAAAGAGTGAAAGATTACTGATCTGGCTAAGAACAACTTCACTCATAGAAGCAACCTCTCATCCCACTTTCATCTAAAATTCTTTTTTTACTCACCTTTTCTAACACTCACCTCTGAATTTTAAGGGAGGTTTTTGAGGTATTGTATAGCAAACAGAAAGCTCTTGTCTTGTTGGAGATGTACAGATAGCAAATAGTGGTGGCCAAACATGGTGCTTACTCAGTCAACTTTATACCCTTTGCTGACTGTGCACTGTGAGGAAAGCCAAGTTCTCTTCCCTGTGGAAAGTATAACCTGCTGGGGAAAGACAGACAGACCATATACCAAAACTATGTATATATCTATAGAGGAGAAGGCGTTCAGAAATATGGTAAATGGAAAGTTATTCTAATTTATATGTGGAATAAAGGGAATTCTGATACAAAGCTGGGTAGAGCAAAGATGAGGAACTATTGGAAGTGTCATTGCGTGAAAAAGCACGCATGAGGTTGTCACTTCTGAAAAACTGAAAGACTAGTCCCAGCTTATTGTTTAGGGCTACATGACACTGCTGGTTATAGCCCTGCTCATTCAGTGTTGTCAGGCATGTGCTGTCCTTTGCTGGGGAATTAGAAGCACTAACACACTGGATGTGCTTTCCTTGATCTGAGCTGCATTATCCATTCTGTAGTGTGTTCGCTCTGTGGACACTCTTTTTTCTAATGGCTGTCTGGATTCTAGGCAAACTCTGCTTTCCTTTCAAAGAATAAGTGTGGAATTTTAAATGGCTCAAGAAAATCATGCTTTGCCAAGAACAGTTTCATAATTTTGCAATTTTATATTTGCATATCTACTTAAAATAGTCTGTGATCTTTATGCTTGTGTGAGTTGGTTCATTCCCCTTTAAACAAAAGAACAAGACAGATCATTGTTAAGCTACCCTCCCTCCTGCCCCCAACAATTTGTAAAAAAAAATGGGTCTTACTCAAATTATAAGGACAAAAAATTGAATTTCAGCTCATAAAAATTGACTTAAAGATTATGTGGAGAAAACAGTTTGTGTAACCGTTCTTGAGATGATCAGTCTCGGCTGGTATTAATGACTTTTCCAGTGTTCCCTGAATAGTTCAAAACAATCAGAAACAAGAACTTAGAATGGGATTTTATGCCCATAAATATTTTGAAGTCCATGCTTTTCAAAGGAGTTAAGAACCCAAGTGGTTATTACAGCTGTATTCCTCACTGCTAAACACCTGTGTTAATGACTCTGGAAGCAAGAAGCCCTGCTGACGTTATAGCACCTAAAGAGAGATAGGAGCCGCTCTGATGCTGCGTGTGCAGTACTGGATTCTTGCTAGCTTCCTATTTTGTCTTCTGTTTCTCTCCCATTGACTTTATGAAGGGGAATAAAGTCCAAAGCCACAAAACAACTTAGGTGCATTTGTAAGCATCCTGTGTGAGAAATCATATTCTAGAACTAGGAACTTCTGAGTAGCCAGAGGCTCTCAAGCTCGTGTCAGGTTCACTCTCCACAATTGTGTATTTTATTTTATTATTATGTTTTAAATTATTTTTTTCTTTTTTCTAAGTATTTACTTTTATGTGCACTGATGTCTTGCCTGCATATATGTCTGTGTGAGGGTAGCATATCTCCTGGGAGTGGAGTTACAGACAATTAAGAACTGCCATATGGGTGTTGGGCATCAAACCTGAGTCCTCTAGAAGAGCAGCCAGTGTTCTTAACCACTGAGCCATCTCCCCAAAAGCACGTTTCTAGACAGTCTGGTATAAGAGAGCAAGGGCAAAAATAACTATGAAAATAAATTGGGAATGGTTAGTGCATTTATGTATTAAAGCAAGATAAATTGCGAAATAAAAAATTATACCAGTGATAAACAGAACAGACATTTTTGTGACTTTGCCCTACGATTCCTCTGACAGAGAAATGCAATCTTAAAACTGTGATTCCTGAAGCCAAAATTTTTACAGCTCCCAAAAGGGGATAGACAAAGATCAGATGTATAGATTAAAAATTCAAAATCTCAAATACTGCAAAATGTAAAACTTGATACCTTGAGTAGAAAATTCTACATGCTACCTCATATGTCACAGTCAAAATTCACAATAAAATATTGTGCAAAATTATCTTCAGACTGTGTATATAAAACATAGTTTCATATGTGGATTTATATCCCATATCAAGAGAATGCATTGTATAAATATATTAAATATGTTAAAATTCAACAATATATCCAATGTCTAAAATACTTCTAGCCTCAAGCATTTTAGGTTCTATACTAAATGCTTTAAAAAACAAAACAAAAAGCAAGGGAGATGGTCTATAAATCCCACCTCTTGGAAGGCTGGAGGCAGGAGAATCCCTGTGAGTCTGAGGCTACCCTTGGGTTATACATGAAGCCCTGTCTCAAAAACTCAAAACCAAAACCTATAAAATGAAAAAAGAAAGGTGTGTTCTCTATGCTTTTAGGCTGTGTGATTTTTTAAAATGCACCCAATTTGTTTTATGAAAAAGTACATACCACCATATTTTTTTCTTATTTCATTGATTTCTTTTTCCTGTCACCACTGGCTTTTGATA